CTTGACTCCCTCTTCTTTGGGGCAGTCCCTGAGATGTTGGAACACTACTATCATATCACACCTAGTCCTTATTTTCATCAAACTAGACATACCAAGTTCCTGCAACCATTCTTCATATGTTTTAGCTTCCAGTCCCCTAATAATCTTTGTTATTAAGTAGTTATTGAAAGGGGTAGTGCATTCTTCCCAATCAATTTCCATATTTTTTATAAATGTGCATTGGTATTTAATGCCTGATCCTAATAGAAATAGAGACTGAATTCTTTTTAGATGATAAGAAGTAAATAAAAAGCAATAAATTAAGCGGCTGCCACAAAGAAGAGAGGAATCAACCTATTCTCCAAAGCACCTGAGGGTAGAACAAGAAGCAATGGGTGGAAACTAATGAAGGAGAAAAGCAACTTAGAACTAAGGAGAAATTTCCTGACAGTGAGAACAATTCATCAGTGGAACAATTTGCCTCCAGAAGTTGTGAATGCTCCAACACTGGACGTTTTTAAGAAGAGATTGGATAACCCTTTGTCTGAAATGCTATAGGGTTTCCTGCCTAAGCAGGGGGTTGGACTAGAAGACCTCCAAGGTCCCTTGCAACTCTGTTATTCTATTCTGAAACAAGGTTTTTGAGATGACGCCTTCTCCTGTGTTTCAAAACAGATGTCCAGTTTGTGTTCCTCTGTTTGTTTGTCACCCCACAGGGTGTCTTCGTATTGAAAAAAGAAGCCGAAACATTGGTTTATGGGGTGCTCAAAAGCAGGAAGGGTCTCCCTGATGAGGAGAAATACAGACTTCCTGTTTGGCTGCTCCGGCCCCCTGGAACGATCTCCCCATGGAGATCCGGACCCTCACCACCCTTCAGGCTTTCTGCAAAGCCACTAAGACCTGGCTGTTCTGGCAGGCCTGGGGCTGATGAGTTCCCAGCCCTACTCGAATTGTTGCGACTGTTGCTGTGTTTTTAACTTGTTTGTCTTTTTGTTTTCCTGTTTGTATTCCCCCTTCACCTCTGCTTGTTAGCCGCCCCGAGTCTCTCGGGAATAGGGTGGCATACAAATTGAATTAAAAAAAAAAATTAATCTGTCTGTCTGCTTGGCCTGTTTCAACGTTAGGTGTTGTTTTTCCCTCGGTGTTTAGATTCCGGAACTGTTTGTTTAAAAATCCCCTGACAGGAGGTTTGATTCTCCCATCTTTTGACAGATGCCTGAAGAACAGGCCTTCAGCGTTCTGGTCAAAATCATGTTCGACTACGGACTCAGGGAGCTTTTCAAACAGAATTTTGAGGACCTGCACTGCAAGTTTTATCAGCTGGAACGTCTCATGCAGGTAAGGATGTCCCCTTATCGCATCATTCTTCTTCTGTCCTGGCCACTTTTTGTACAGAGGTGCGATGAAGCACATTTTAACGAACGGCATGAATGGTTCGGTTGGCCAGGTAGAAAGTCCCTACAGAGAGTGGTGAGGACAGTGGAGAAGATTATAGGAAAGTCACTTGTCGTTATTCACGATGCTGCTTATAAGCGCTATGTGGTTAGAGCTCGAAGCATTGTTAGAGACCCTGCATATTTACTTTACTAATTCTAGTCTATTCTAATTCTATTGTATTCTAATTCTATCCTATTCCTATATTATTCTAATTCTATTGTGTTCTAATTCTATTCTA